TCTCTCTCTCACTCCCCCGCATCTTCTGGAACTTTCCACAAGCGGGTTTCTTGCCATCTCCCTACCTCGTTGTCCGCGCCTTCGTCAACCGCGTCCTCTTTAATTTACTTGCCTTGGTCATGGTCCCGTGTCCCTACGTGGCCCTTACATCATCTTGGCTGTGGTGTCTTGTTCCAACGCCTAACCTCAGCGTGACCCTGCACGACCTTAACACACACGATTTTAGTCGTGTAATCGCTCTACTGCATCTTGAATGAATCGTGTGAAGACTGCAGTTCACACAAGTTTACAGCAGACGGCGCTATTGCCTCAATTATAACGTGGCGATGGTTGTGGTCAAGGAATGCAGAATAATGATTGTTATTCTTTTTACAATTGGAGCTGGGGTATCCAATTATTTCAGCACGTAATTCATTGCTATAATTTCTCCAGAATTGGTAAAAGCATGGGTCGGCAACCAAAATGACAAAAAGAGCCATTTTTTTAAAAATTTGGTTAAACCTCCCCCCTCAATATTGCAAGAGCCGCTCCTGAACAAATCGGGGTCACGACGCAGCCCTTGAGGAGCCGCATGCTACTCCGGAGCGGCAGGTTGCCCCCCCCCCCCCACCTGTGTTAAGGCAATGCTGACGAGGCACTGAATTTCAACACCGGGCGAGCGTTTGCTGGTGTGCCACCAATGCGGCTGGGATTATACACACTTTTTCTGGCATAAGGTATTCCAATGGTTATAATGTAATTTTGGGGTGCTGATTCGAAATCTGGTATCAGTTTTTGTCTATCACATCAGGTTTGTGAGATATCAAATATTGCATTTTCAATAAAAACTGCAGAAAAAAAATATAAAATAAATGTGGATATCTACATAAAATGATATTATAAACACACTATCCTAAAAATACAGCACCATATTTTAACACTAAATCAGTTACGGACTCGCAACAACTTGCAATCATAAGTGACAGAGTTAATTTCGGGTAAAATCAATGAAAATGGGGTATGCCGATAGCATAAAAATGAGATGTGATAGAGCAAATCTGAGATCAGATTTGGAATCAGCACCCTGAAATTAGTCTAAAGCAGCTGCAAAAGTCCAGGCCAGAAAAAAATGTTTTTTTTTTGTTGACCAGTGTTATTTCACGCCTAAAATGCCGCGACGAGTCACTCCCTCTTCCCCAACCAGGAGTTCAACTCGCAGCCTTCCGAATTCAAGCCAGCTCGCTCTCCCCATCGAGCCATCTGGCTGCGGATTATTTTATATTTTGGGCGGTGACGCGGCCTAAGTGAGCAGGCAATTTTCAGCTGGCGTCAAGGTTCACATTTGCCAATTAAAAAAAAAATTACCCACAAATTACTCAAATTGTAATTTATACCCCGACCAATGCTCCGGGCCACTCTTGTAAATGAGTGTCATCCTGGTCTCTTGAGCTCTCACCTGGCGAAACAAAGTAAAATGTAAACCTATACTATTTTTATATTTTTGGGTTCTTTCGGTAAAGTCACGTAGATATAAAAAAAATAAAAAAATGTAAGTGAATAAAAATAATACTGTAGCCTGGTTCTTAATCGAAGTGAGTGTACTGGCAGTCTATAATGTTGACTGTAGCTTGGTTATTAAGTTTGGTGAGTGTTCTTCTGGCAGTCTAAAATGTAGACTGTAGCAATGGTTATTAAGTTGGGTGAGTGTACTGACAGTCTATAATGTGGACTGCAGCCTGAATTTTTTTTTAAACAAAAAAAGCCACGACGTTTCAATCGCAACACAAGCGGTCGTCATCAGGAAAAGGAGGGTTAGCCTCCAAAGGCAAACTGTTTATAAAGGTTTGGAGATGGGCGTGGCCCAAGTGTCTCAGCAGCACCAGCAGCAGCGTGGGTGGCGCAGCCAATGCCAATGCAGGAGACAACATCTTGTGTTTGTTCATAATTTTGGAAATATTTTTGGTTACCCGTGCTATGTATGGAAAGGTGATGGTTTGATTGGATCCTCAGATGGCTCCTTCCTCACGGTTGGGGTGATGGCTTTGCGGATTGTGTAGTCAGAATATCCATTCGCCTTGAGAGCCTGGTGTACGTATTTGAGTTCACTGGTCAGGTGTTCATGGCCGGAGATACATTGAGCTCTAAGGTGTAGCGTTTTCATGAGGGAATTTTTCTGGGACGGATGGTGGTGAGAATCAGGTTTTAGGTAGTCGTCAGTATGGGTTACTTTCCTGTCGACATAATGGTTCATTGAGCCATCTGGTCTCTTTTTGATTAGGATAATTCCCTCATCAAAACGCTACACCATAGAGCTCAATGTATCTTCGACCATGAACACCTAACCAGTGAACTCAAACTTATGAATTCCTGCAGTCACGAACTTTTAAAGTCAAAATTCTACACAATTTATTTCAGCTATTTGTCAACCCACTGTTGAATGAAGGCCTCCTAGTGCCTTGTCACTCATGGGGGAGGGGGGGGGGGTTAACCAATTACTTGGTTAGTGAAGGGGGTGTGCCCAGAAATGGTTGGGATTATCACTCATCGCTGGCATTCAGTGTGACGTGGATTCGGACTCGGGTTACCTTGGGCTCGACGCGTGGCGCGCGAAGGCACTTGTGCCACCTTCCTCCGTATGGGAAACTTCGCTACGGCATACTTTACGTCGTAGCTAGAAGAACTCGAATTGTAGATGTTGTGGGTTTACTCTCCAACACACCGGTGTGCTGAGCTAGCAATGCATTGGCATGTTTAGGTTTACGTGACGAACCTTGCTAATTTGCTCTGTCGGGTGGTGGCGGGTTTAACGACACATAATTTGCGCGATCTAACCCAAAAAACCTCTATTATGTACATACTTGGCATGAAATAATATATTCACGCCGCAAAAGCGTTGAGGTTTTGCCTCGTGGCCTAAAGGTAAAAGCGCAGCCCTGCAATAGCTTGCTCGTGCCAACGGTGGCAGATTATCCTCCACTGCAGGGAGCTCTGGAGAGCCCCCTCGTGAGGGTGCTCAGCCTAATTCCGTGCTGGTCAGAAATCATGGAAGAGATGAGAGTACCTACACTTCATCTCACCACGTGCGGCCCGCTGATCGCCCGTGATGCACCCATTTAAACTGCTGGGTGGACAGAGGTGGTCCGATAGGCCACTGTGCCATAAATTATTTACTATTTGACAAACCGCCACGAGGCCAAAACTCACGGTGATGATCGATGAGTGAGTGAATGAATGACAGCTTGATTTTTTTGTTTCTTATTTTGAATGCTAGCCTCGATTGCGGCCAACTTTCTCCTCCTGACCTATTGATTCAACCCCACTTTTTTGCGCCGAATTTGAGACTACAATCTTGCAAAATGACCTTCCAAGGTTGGAGCCATGAAACTCCCACTTCAAGGCACAATTTTTAAGAACTGTCTTCTTTTTTTTTTAAAGAAAAAACCACCCACGTTGATGATAAGACGCTCCAGATAGTAATATACACCACGAACTGGTGACCAGTGTCTGTTACGCACACACAGATATATTGGATTATAAGACGCATCCCCGTTTCCTTTAACATACAATGGGGGAAAAATATGTTTTATAATTGCAGAATACGGTTTTATTAATTTAGAAATCATAAGAGCCAACACCACGGATATATATTAAAATTTTACAAGCTAATTGCTATGCAGCCCCCAGTATCTCTACGACGTAACAAGGAGGACGGAAACGCAATATTGCCGCACAGTAAACCGGCCTCTCTTTACAAGTAAGCGACAGGAAAAATATAAATGTATATTTTAAAATACAGTACCAAGATTTGCCTTTGACCAAATCACCCGCGTCGGATATCGTCGGCTCTCCGAAAGCTAAGCAAGCTTGAGGCTGGAGTGTGCTTTGATGGGGGTGTTAAAAGCTGACAGGTAGTACGCATGACCCGGCGTTATAGGCAGAGGAGGCACACAGTGGGCAGTGCGGTAAAAATCGATTGTCGTACCATACATATGTGCGCCCACGTCTATGCCAGTGTCTGATTATCCCGGTAGCAAAAGTAGCTACACATGTTGCTACGGGCCCCGCACTTTCAAGGGCCCCGCGCTAAATGCTTTCAAGTTATAAATTCCGGTTCAGTGATTCTGCACTTGCTCAATTACTATAGTACTATACTGCCTTCAACTTTTACGAACGACTGGGTGTTTAAGGTTAGCGATCTGTCGTATTATCTGGCTGTATATCAAATGAACAAATACAGTTGCTTTTCTATGCAAGTAAAAAATGTATGTTTTAATATTTACGTGTTTTAAAAAAATGTATGGCCCCTTTATAAAATATGCTGCAGGCCCCGTACTCGCTTAATCCTTCAAAGGTCTCTGCTCTCCCCACCTTCCGCCTGCACTGACCGGTGCGGCGTAGAACGGTCGTGAAAAAGCCACCAACCGCGACAACACCTGGAGGCCCTCAGCTCGCACCGGACTGACCAAAGAGCTGTACACATGCACACCGTGGCCAGGATAAAACCCTCGGCTGGCGAGACTGCAGAGCCGGATTTAAACACGGATGAATGAGTCTTCCACTTGGTTGAATGCAATGCGTATTGGTGCTGTAGGTTGCCGTATGCCTTGCGTTACAATTGAATAGAAATCTGGATGAGTTATGCAATGTGATGATTCATGCAGTGGCTTACCTTTGCAGCACAGGCATCACCAGTTTCACCATTGCCAAAACTACCCGATAAATATCATCACCATTGCCATAACCATCGCCAACACCACCCCGAGGTACAGCACTAAACCAAGCACGTTGCTGCATGACGTTTGAGGCTTATCCACTTGTTTGCGTGGGTTTTCTCCACGAGCACAGAGCATGAACCATCACCACGCGTTCTCCGCTCATCCTCGCAGCAGCGGCTTTTGGCTGCTGGCCATCGAACAAAGACGGCCACTGCAACGCGTGGCGCTTTCGGATGCGCTTCTGCGGCCGTCTGGAACGCTCTTGCAGCGATGTACTTTTAAATCTAGATTTGAAAACGAATTTCTTCAGAGCTGCTTCTTGAATTTGAGTTTGTTGCCCTTCCCCCCGCACCTCTCGATGAGCACGGCTGTGCTGCATACGTACGGTGCGAAAGAAGTCCAACATAATACGTGTTTTTAAAACAATCAAAACAAGCAATTGAGACCCAGTGAGGCTTTTCCTGAGTCATTAGGATCGCCGCTGTAGAGTTAAACGACAGAGAAGACAGAGACACCGATCACAGTTTTTTTTAGTTTTTTAATCATGACACAAATCCATCGCAGACATTTCCGACTTTCTGAGCGCTTGAAATCCGCGATTTTCGTTGCCACGAGGTTCAGTTGCCGTATGGGAAATTCACACCGAGCTGAACGCACACTGGTACAACGACTGTGCAACATCGTCTTAATCGCTACTACAGCATTGCACGTTTACATTTTTTTAAGACCACAATTTCCACAAGAAACTCATCAATTTCTCACTCGGTTGTACCCGCGACCTATCGGAAAAGCGGTTGTTTGGCTGGTAGCGGCGCTGAGCAGTAGCTAATCCTTCTCACCAGTGTCTGCGGAGTTACCGTCACTACTGGAGACCCATCTTGTCTTTGGTGACGCTATGATTACCCAGGGTCCCACTACCCCGGGGGAGACGCTATGATTACCCAGGGTCTAATTATCGTCGCTGCTGTGGTGAGGTCTCCACTCCACTCAGCTGGCCTTGCGTACACGTACCGCATTCTCTGGATTGTAAGACGTAGCCAAAAACACACTCGTTCCCGGTGTCAACAGAGCTTTACAAATCTGTCAGCGCGCACGCACCCATCAGATTGTGAAACGCAGCCCCAACTGTTTGATTTGAAATATATGGGGGAGGGGGGGTGGGGGAGGGGGGTGCAAACTAATCTGGAGAATGCGGTAGCAGGTTCGACATTCAAGAGTTGGTCCCAAAACACTTAGCCAGAGCCCCTTCAGGCGCACCTATGTGCTGCACTTTGGAATCAGGGGTTGGGGAATCGTGCTAATTCGTGAAACTACCAAACCCACTCGATGTGGGTGGTGGTCAGGAGATCTAAACTATTTTTAATCAACCAGGTAAGGCCCATGAGCTATATGGCTCGTGCTCAGAAACGACCTGGCCACAATGATAGCTCAACGAAGTGACTCATCATGTGGACATTTATAGCAGCCAAATACTCTAAACCAGTGGCTCTTAACCTTTACTGTAGCAGCCTTGCACCCCGTTTGGTTCTCAATCGTTACATTTGTTACAACGTTAACAAATACACGGGGTTCATTAATCCAAAATAGTTGTACTTTCGTGCCCGTGCTTAATTTGTGTTTTCGATGATTTACCTTCGAACAAAAATCTGGCCACGTCTCGGCACCCCCAGCAAGGGCATCCCGCACCTTCAGAGGGTGCAGCGTGCACTCCAAGTGAAGCACCACTGCTCTGCACGCACCTTCCTACGTGTGGATGGACCCAGATAAATTCCCACGCGACCACGGGCAGAGAGAACACGCAGGCGAGGGGAGTGGACGTCTCGCCACCGTGGCAGTACACAGAGCCGATTCTTGAATTCGTCTGTGCGGAGCTTCTTTGAGTATTGTACCCTAGTAGTAGTGGATTGTCTCCAGGTACCGTAGTTTATTCCCACAAGCCAAATCGTTCTGAATGGAATGGGTCAAACAGCCCCACGCAGCACCCTCCTGAAGAAGTTTTGAGACTCAGTAAACTTTTCCTGGATTCATATTTTAATTTCTAGATATTTGATTCTGGGTCCCATTGGCATTGGCCATCACTCAATTAATATACAGAGCAAGAACACTCCTGGGAAAAATATATAGATATTCATAACCCGTATAAGTTATTTCTGCAGAATGTAGACTTTTGCTGCATAGGGGAGATTAAGTGGATGAATCAAGTGAAATATTAAAATGCTTGTTTTGCGGCCAAGTGTGGGAAGATAATTTAATGAAGAAAAAACCCCCTTGCAAAAGTGGATAGTTGTTAAAGTGTTCTAATGAAAAAAAACTCTGCACATTCCTCATTAACACATTGGCCGTAAATTGAAAAATATATCACGTGACATTTCAGGCCATGGCCCATGATATCACTTATTCATAGCACACAAGGGTGTATATATTATGAGCACGTGCTATTATTGATTAGTATTATTATGAAGAACCATTGCTTGTGCACCACTGGCAATGCAACATCGCGAACTAATGCGTCTGGCGACTCTCGCATGGTTGATCTTAAAACACGTGGGTCGTCAGGTCCATGTACACGGTAAGTCCTCGCTTAACGCGTGATGTCCACACTATAACGGGTTGTCGTTGCAACGCGGTTCTTCCATCAGGTAATACTTTTCGCACAACGCGGATTGCGCGCACTGTTTTAACGCGGAGTGCGTGCACCGTAATGAGGTGGAACGTGCGCTCCGTTATAACGCGGTTTCTGAGCGGACGATGACGAACTACTTTCTTGAGCTGGGCGACTGAGCGGTGCGGTGCAGTACGCGGAATGATACAGCAACGCGACGGTGTTCCCTCATGTATTTGTCCCGCCAGCTCACCATGTGTGCGTAGTGGCACATTATAACACGCGGCGCTTTTCAGGAACGCATTTACCGCGTTAAACGAGGACTGTATTCGTGGGTTATCAAGTTGTTTTTTTCCCCCAGGCCACGCCTGATGTCTCTTTTCTGGACGTACTGACAACAATGGATGCAATCACGCAGGGCTGGTGGCTCATCCAGCGAGACTATCAGCCTTGCGGGAGCATGAGATGGCCGTACAGCAATGGCAGGTTGCTGGAGTGACCGCGACGTATTCGTTCGTTTGCTCTGAGGACGTGTTACGGGTTTCTCTGCTCGGTTTCCTCGCACGCAAATGAAACGTGCGCGCCAATGGAACTTTGCCCAAATATTCCGACGAAGGACTCTCCTGCAGAAATAAAAGAGTCCTGAGATTCAGCGAGGCTTTTTCTTTGATTAACAAAAAAAAAACACAATTTTTTTTTTTAGAAACGAACTTAAGATCCAATCCAGACCCCCCTCTGTAGGGAGCAGAGCCTCATTATGTCACCACGCATCGTGCCAGGGCATTCACCGACTCTCTTCGAGGGCCTCTATGGTTACCCAGCCGCAAGATGGCATTCCCTGTAGCCGCAATTTGCTCTGCTCCCCAGCTCGTAAATAAATCATCATAAACGGCCTTAACCAATACGGGCACAAAATCAATGGTTTACTTATTTTAATGACGGTTTTTTTTAAAGCAGTCATTGATAACTGGGCTAAGACCGTCATCAAACCGGCTACACTTGAACTGGTTTAATCACAGATGGGAGCGTGGGATTTGAAAGGATCTACAGCGGGCACTTGCTCGGTGCTCTGACACGGCCATTATGAGTCCCCTGAGCCGTTCACCCATCTCCATCATCAGTTTATTTATTTATTTATAACAATTGTTTTTTTTATTGGCAAAAACGTTACGATCCGAGGCAACGTCATTTTTTTTAAATACAGAACTCTCACGGGCAAGCGGTGCACCGAACTGTTGTTCCCCGTGTCAGAAACTCTCCCCCTGGAAGTAGATGCCACAGAATTACTTCTGAATCCACTTCATGGGGCCTCTTATCCACACTGGCCAGGGCACCCTTAAACCCCCCCTGCATAATATTGCGTTTGTCGCATGGCAATCAAACCGAAAAGAACCGTGCCAAATTAAGCAACAACAAAAAATAATCAAATTTACAGGATTATTGTTAAGTGTGGTCATTGCTAACCGGCTTGAGACATGTGGCGGTATGAAATTGAGCTCACGATCTATCGGCTGTGCGCGCTGACACGGCCATCGTGAGCCCCGAGCCACCAAGACACCTCCCAGTCGCCCGTCTTTTATTTTCAAATTCAAAGCACAAACAGCCATGCACAAATCACAGTTGGGGGGAGGGAGAGCAGGCAAAGTGCCTGCAATGATAATTATTACCTTTCAAAAAATCAAACATTCAATTTAGCCAATCACTGGTGAAAGCTGCATGCGTTTATCTCAAGTAATCAAACAGATATCATTAATAACCAATTACTGACCATGGTAATCAAACACAAACACTACATTTCTTTTTTTTTAGTAATCTTTAAACCAACGTAGATACTAATTATTGGCCAAAAACAATAAAATTTACAGCACTTCACCTGATTAATGGCAGTGGTTTTTATCTTTCATTACGGCCATATTGCCCGGCGTGTCTGTACAACTACTCCCAGAATGCATTGCCGCAAGAATGTTTTAGTTAGATTTGCAATCCTTAACTCAAAGCGGAGCCTGCTTAGATCTTTATCGAGTCCTGGGCCACTTGTGAAGTATTCTACAGTTTTTTTTATGATTAGTGCCAGTTTTTGCCACAGGATGACGATGGATATCTTTGCACAAAGCGATAATCTTGGTAGAGGTGAAAATACACACACTTTGCCCCACCATACGCGACCTGCCGATCAACTGACTGCAGACTACCTATTCATACTGCTGGGAGGGCAGAGGCGAGGGAAGGCAATCTTTTTTTTGGAGTGGATATTATGAATTCAGCTCACAAAACAAATTAGTGTCTGCGTCTTTTCTTTGGACTTTAAATTAAATTCAAAAGGGCAATTTTTTTTATCAGCTATCAAGTATTAGCAGCATGCCTAAAGTGTCCACTAAGCCCCATTCTTTTCAAATGAGGGAAATTGCTCATACCCAGGCGAGCAGATGGGCAACAGCAGGTCAAGACTTAGTGGCACGCTAATCCCGCGGAAACGCCAGGCGGATACAAACTTTTAATAAAGTTGTTGCAACACAGTGTGGCTGACAACAGGGAGGACTAATTTTTTTATTCTTTTCTTTTAAATCTCAATGGTAATGGCATCCTGTGTCGCATCCCTGTTACGATGTCCCTGCATAAAACATTTGCGATTAGCTTTTATAACCCACAGCGAGTGCCTAAGCCTGCCCCGATGCACGTGCATTATCTGCCAATTTGCGAGTCGTAGTAGTATACATTCAACTTCCATGCTAACTAAACTCTACTAGGAATATTGATCCGGCACACATTCCTATGGCGGGTAGCCAGAATGTCCATAGGACAGCCTCCATCGACGTCCCACCAGTCATTGCGTAAGGTGTTGGATCTAAAGGGACAATGGGCCGAGTCACCCCCTGATCGGAAATTGAATTCGCAACCGTCCAATTGTGAGCCTTGTACGTCACGCAGGACAACAACATGACAACAGCGCATGAGGGATGCATGCGATGCCACTGCCCTCGGTTACAAGGGTGATGCTTAACCCTTTCCCGTTCCGCTAACATACGTATGTGTACGTCATCAATTGTTCTTCCAAGGGCGCTACGCCCCTACAAATACAATGAACGCTGAGCCGCTTACGCGTTACGGGATTCAGCGGTGAACGGGATACCACCACCCACCCTGCAATTTGCAGATGTCTCGGAATGCGAAAGGGTTAATGTAAAGAGACACCATTTCTGGGAGGCTCAACATGGACACGCGGTGAGCTGGAAGTCCCCACCTTCCCCTCTTTCGGCCCCACCTACTTTTACATAGCCACGCCCACTCGATCACTCGGCCACTCAGCCACGTGACATGTCTCTGCCAATAGGGTGCACGTGATTTGGATCGCGTGATTGCCTTTTGACTGCCGTTGGGTGATTCTGCAGGTGGCGTGGCTGCAAGCAGGCATTTACGATAAATAAATAAGATTACTATGATTCACTAAGCTACGTAAGTTGCTTATCATCACATATATTATTTGCCTCTCTTATCGAACATTTCCATAGAATAGAGAGAATGCCTTTGTGCCACATGCATGACATTTTTTCCCTTGCCATGTTGGATTTAGCATCGCCACGTGCTGACCACGTGACCACGACCAGCCAATCAGAACGTTGTGTTACGTATGGGGGGGGGGGGGCAACACATTTCAAAGCTTGGTTCCAACAAAGTTGCAGAGCAGCGTGCAACTTCATGTCACAACGGTGTTTCCGTCGATTGTTGGATCGAACAAAAGGTCATCGACATTAGTTTAAGGTAATAACACCTTAAAATCTTGACTTAAAGCTTTCGTGACTGCAGGAATTCCTATTCTTTGGGTCTTTCGGTAAAGTCGCGTAGATAGGTTCAAATAAAAAAAACTACGACGTTTCGATCGCAACACAAGCGGTCGTCATCATGAAAAAGGGGGGGGGGGACCGCTTGTGTTGCGATCGAAACGTCGTAGTTTTTTGGTTATTTTTATTTGAACCTATCTACGTGACTTTACCGAAAGACCCAAAGAATATAATAACAACTTTGTTGTTGTTGTTGTTTTACTGTTGGATTAAGATGCCATCCCGTTTGCAAGCAGGGGAATAAAAAACCGCATGCATTCATTGCGTGCACGTTGTTTCTTTGTCATGCTGTGTCGCAAACGTTCTGCTGTGCCACTTTAAAAACATGTTCAAAGCCTTGTTGCTACGTTATATTGGAAAAAAAATGGAAAAAATAAGGGGATACAAAACTTTTGTTGTTGTAGAGTACTAGCAACAGTATAGTAGTGATTGGATGAAGTCGTGGAGAGTTTTAATTAGACAACTGGATGAGTAAATATTATTTAAGGTAAATAACATGCCCAACTTATTTCTTTTTGACACATTTCCTCGTGTAAACTTGATTATCCTAAATACCTTAACACTGTTTTAGTTTGATGCGCTGAGCAGGCAATATTACCTCGCCTACATTTCTGCCTGGTTCCATTTAGTGTGAAAACAAAAGCGACACAAGTGAGGCGGGTTGTGTGCAATTTAAAAGGATTTTGCATAACATTTGGAAAAAGCAACGGTCCAGAAATATGGCACCATTCGACTTCATCTGAACCAGGCTTTGACATCAAACCACAGGGTCACTGTAACGTAACCCCTGTCGTTACGCGAGGTGAATGCACGCAGCCTCGCTTCCTTTGCGTATTTAAACGTGTTCAAACAAAACATACTTGCAGCGAATGAACCGTGGGAGTTTCATGTGCAAATCCTGACCCCGCCCCCTGACATCGCACCCACACAAGCCAGCACACTCAACTCTGTACACGCGTTGTTTTTTGTTGTTGTTGTTGTTGCCATCTTTACAAATTCTCAATTCTGGTGGACGGCCTCCGTTTGGCAGCGTACACGTATTGTTCATTGCCGACTCTGCCGCCATCGTCGTCGCTGTCGCCCTCGCTGCTGTCATCGCCGTGCCGCTCGCTTTGGACATCGTTCGGCCCGCCGCGCCACCACCCGTGCCGGCGCCACCTCTCGGGGTCGGGCAGCAGCGTGTCGACCCCCCATGTCTCCGTCGCGTCGGCCGCCGCCCGCCGCCACCACCACTGCTTCTCCGCCGCCGTCGCCGCCGCCGTCGCCGTAGCCGTGGCCGCCGTCGACCCCTCCCCCCGCGCCTCTCGGCCGACGGGCCGTGCCGCTTCGTCGTCCTCGGCGTGCCGCGGGGCCCCCTCCACCGTGGCGCTGCGTCGCTTCCTCCGCGGGGCGGCGGTGCGGCCGCGCTCGCGGCTGCGCTCGCGGCTGCGTCTCCGCCGCGCCGGTCCCGTCGTTTCGTCCGAGTCCCTCCTGCTCCACGACGACGCCGTGGCCGACGCCGTGGCCGACGCCGTGGCCGACGTGACCGCACCGCTGGCCATGTTCCTCTGGTCACCCGCGCTGGCCGACGTTCTTATCGCGGCCGTGCCCGCCGTGGCCCACGTGGCGTAGCCGCTGGACGCGGCGTTCCGCGGTCCGCCGCCGCCGCCGCCGTTCGTCACGATCAGGTTCCTGCTCTCGCTGCGTGCCGAGATTCTGCTCGTGCTGTTGCGTCTCTCGAACATGTAGTCACTCGTCCTGTTCAAGTTCAGCCGGTTGCCAAGTTGGTCACCGCCCCTGACTTCGTTGCAACCGCTGCTGTCTTTACCGCGGCCGTCCATCGATCTCCCCCTGTCGACGACGACGTCGACGCTGTTTTTCCTTCTCCCGTCCATCGACCGTCCCCTATCAACGCCGCCGCCGTCGGCGCCGGCGCCGGCGCCGCCCTCTCTTCCCCGCCCGTCTGTCGACCTTCCCCGGCTGCGCACGCCCCCACCCTCGCCCCTGGCGTCCCTGGCGTCCCCGCCGGCCTCGCCTTTAAAACGCTCCGTCCCGGCGCCGGCCGCCGCGTGGTGGTGACGCACGGAGCTTGCCCGACGCTCACCCCAGGCTCGCTCGGGGCTTTTGAGCCTCATGGACCCGCCTGACGAGCCCGCGCACGTGGCCGCGTCCACCCTGAGCGTGTCGGTTGAGTTGCAGCTGCGGCTCTCGGCCCAGCGCGGCCGAGACAGAGTCGCGCTGGACCTCCGCGTCGGAGACGCCGGCCGCACCGCCTTCACGACCGCGACGCCGCCACCGCCGCCACCGATGCCGGAGCCGCCGCCACCGCCGATGCCGGAGCCGCCGCCACCGCCGATGCCGGAGCCGCCGCCGCGCCGTGAGCCCCAACCGCAGGATACCATGATCTCCTCGGCGCTGCTGACGCCGCCCCCGGCGTCGCCCCCGTAGGAGCCGACCTCCCGGCTGCCCTCGTCGTCGAAGTCGACGTCGTTGAGGCTGCGCGCGCCCGTCGAGCGGCGCCGCTGCACGCTCACGTGAATTTTCCTGGCCCGCGCTTCGTGCGGGTCGGCTAGGCCGCCGTCGCCGTCGTCGCAGTAGAACCTGCTGCCGCCGGCGTCCAGGCTCTGGCGGCCCAGCGCGGACCTCTGGCTCCCGCCGCTCGCGTACTTCCTCTTGGCGATGGGGTGCTGTCTCCGCAGGCGGGTTTGGCGACCTCCCGCGCCATCGTCGTCGTCGCCGCCGCTCTTGCCGCACCCGTCGTTTTGCACGATGAGGTAGCCCTTCTTGATGAGGTCGTCGATGATAGCGGCATCGCGTTTGCTCGCCTCCTCCGCGCCGTCCGCCTTCCGGACGGCGCTAGGGTGGACGATCTTCGGTCGGGCGCGTTTTCCGCCGCTGCCACCGCTCCCGTGCCCGTCGACGTCTTCGTCGTCATCGTCATCGTCGTCGTGGCACTCCAGCTTGGGGATGCTCACGTACACCTTCTTGGGGCGCTGCGTGCCGTCGATGTCTTTGCCATCGTCACCGCCGTCGTCCTCGTCGTCTTCGTCTTCGTCGTCGGCCGAGAAGCTGTGTCCCGTTGAGAGGCGCGCGCCCCGAGCCCGCGGGGGGCGCCCGGTGGCCTGCGCCAGCCCGGCCGCCCCCGTGCCCTCCCCCCCCGCCGCCGCCGGCGTCCAGAAAGTCGTCGAGAAGAACGACAGGACGACCGAGGAGGGCGACAGCGAGGCGAGCGTCGCGACCGTCTCTGCCGGCAGAGCCGCCACGCCCAGCCGCCGGTACAGGACCTCCTGCACCTCCTCGGCCAGCATCATCCGCGCGTCGCCCTTGCGTTCCGCCGGGCCCGCCGCCGCCGCCGTCACCGCCGCCCTGGCCTCCGCGAGCGGGGGGTCCTCGCCGTGCGTGTAGCACGGGTTGTCGTACTCGTGGTACGACACCTGCGGCTGCAGGAGCCGCGCCTTGGGGCTCGTGCCCAGCTGCCCGCCCAGGTCGATCAGCACGTGGTCGCCGGCGGCCCGCTCGAAGTCGCGGTCGCCGATCGCCGAGGATGCCGCGGCTCCGCCGCCGCCGCCGCGGTCGCCCCTCCGGGTGGACGCGGCGAGGTCCGGCTCGGAGGCGCAGAACGCGGAGCCGTGGCGCAGCAGGGGCCGCAGGGACGGCGCGCGCCAGCCCGTCTCCTTGTAGACGAACCACACGTTGCCCGTCCAGAGCAGCCAGTTGATGAAGCCGAACACCTGCGGGCGACGGCGGCGGGGGAAGCGTTTCGTTATGGACTCGGCGCGGCGCTTCCCGCGTCTCCGCCACGTGGTCACGATGGTGCCACCCGAAGCCCGGAGCTCCACGACTCGTATTTGCCGATCTCATCGGGAATCTTACAGGCCAAGAGGACTGTCTGTAAAAAACAGCTTCATATAGCTTATTGGATTCCTTCAGTATAAATGTATTAAATGCTTACCCCGAGTCCTCAATACTCTGATAGTGCGCTGTTTTTGAGTTGTACGCCTTTTGGCGTCATCTGGTCCAACACCAATGGAGACTAGGCTCTAAGAAAAGCTGTCTCGGGTGTGGACCAATCAACTTCAAGGACAGTGCATATCATTACCATTATCAGAGTTGTTTCTTTTTTTTGCATTTTGACTGCTTGTGTTGTGGTTGTTGCAAACATGATGCCTTGTATAAAGGTGTCAGTTGTGTACCAGTTGAAAGGGTAAAAACCTACTACTATTACTAAATTGATTATGATTCTTCTGGACTTAAAGCCTCGCGTAGTGCTTGGATGGGTGAACGCCATGGACAAAGCAGGTCGCCTCAATCTTTATTTTATTCAGAATGTTTATTTATCTCTGAGGAATCCGATGAGCTGTGAAGCTCTTTTTCACAGATGTCCAGGAGTCACAGGCCTTACGGGGCTATGTGGTGGGCAGTAATTGTGATAATAATTTATAGCATTTATAAAGTACTGTTCACCACTATAAACAAATAAAACGTTGGCCAATGGGAGGACAAACTAAAAAGTAGCGGAGCGACTTTGAAACCCAAAAGAGAAATTTAGCGAATTTTGAGGAGGGGTTTTAACAAGTGGAGAGCAGTACAGCCAAATCTAGCGTTGTATTGTACTTCTTTGCTTCTACGTCCATGCTCCCCCCTGCCTCCAGCCCGACCCCAGCTGCCCCCACCAAACCGCGGTCAAACGAGCCCCGCCCGGGCCGCTGGCGGCACGGAGAAAGAGAAGGGGGGGGGGCGGAGAGAGAGAGAGGGGGGCCGGGCCCCCCCTGAGGAGGAATCGCCGCGTTGCCCGACTCACCGCCGCCACCACGAGGGAGGAGAGCGTCGGCGCCGACCTCCACTCGCACCGCGAGCGCCCCACGCCTCCCCCTCCTCCCCCTCCTCCTGCCCCCCTCGCCGCCGCCATCCCCGCCGGCAGGGCCTGGGGGAGAGCGGCCGCGCGGGGGTCCCTCCCGGCCGCGGCGGCCGCGGCGGCGGCGGCGGCGCGGCACGCGGGCACCAGCGCCCCGAGGTGTGCCGGCTGCAGGGAGGCGCGCAGCTCAGCCAGGCTGGCGGCCCACAGGCACGAGGCGAGGAGCCAGAGCAGGGAGAGCACCAGCGACACGGACACGTCCTGCGGGGGGAGCGGGGAGCGGGGAGCGGGGAGCGGGGAGCGGGGAGCGGGGGGGAGCGGGGAGCGGGGAGCGGGGGGAGCGGGGGAGAGCGGGGAGCGGGGAGCGGGGGGGAGCGGGGAGCGGGGAGCGAGGGGGAGCGGGGAGCGGGGAGCGGGGGGGAGCGGGGAGCGGGGAGCGGGGAGCGGGGAGCGGGGAGCGGGGAGCGGGGAGCGGGGAGCGGGGAGCGGGGGGGAGCGGGGAGCGGGGAGCGGGGGCGGGGAGCGGGGGAGCGGGAGCGGGGAGCGGGGGAGCGGGAGCGGGGAGCGGGGAGCGGGGGGAGCGGGGAGCGGGGGGAGCGGGGAGCGGGGAGCGGGGAGCGGGGGGGGGGCGGGGAGCGGGGAGCGGGGGGGAGCGGGGAGCGAGGAGCGGGGAGCGGGGGGGAGCGGGGAGCGGGGAGCGGGGGGGAGCGGGGGGGAGCGGGGAGCGGGGAGCGGGGGGGAGCGGGGAGCGGGGAGCGGGGGGGAGCGGGGAGCGGGGAGTTAACGCGGCCGTGCGGCTCACAAATCGGAATGTTAAGAAGATTTATTTGTCCCGGAGGAATCCGATGAGCCATGAAGCTCTTTGTTTTTCCCCTTCCCAGAGACGTGTCCGGTCGCTGTCACGGGTGCGCTTCGAGTTGCAAGCACAAACACCGACGCTCGCCACCGACTCTGCCTGCTGAGTGCCGCGTGTGGACATCGCCGCTGGTGGGACAAAGGCGGCCGGGCGTGGTGCTGGCCACTCGCCCCCTCGTGTGCCGTGCCGGCCTTCATAGGCGCTGCTCGCTACTCGCTGACAGCACTTGCCCCGAACAGTGTGTTCACGGCGATGCGGGTGGACCTTTGCCTTCGCATTCGCGCTGCCTGCGGATGTGTCTGTGTGTGCGCGTCAGTGGCCGTGTTGTTCTCTCCGTCGCATCCTCTCACCGTCTCTCTCGCGCGCTGTCATCGGAGTTGTGTGCCTCTAAGCGTCAGTGCCAGCGCGCATTAAATAATGCAGTCTGTGTCAAATCTGGTAACGGCATTTAAGCCTCTGTCAACACCGATCGCTTGACGTCCCACTTGTATGTATACGTGCGTAGATGTGGCACTACACGCCCGCGGTTATGTCAGATTTGGATGATTGCTTGCCAAGATGTGTATACCGAAAAGTATGTATATATTGAATTAAAATGTGCGATACGCATTTAACGTGAATTAAGAAATATCATCCGTTTACCCTTATAGGGTGGGTGAGGGAGTGGATGGATTGAGGGTGTTTATTGGTGGATCGGTGATTCTGCCATTCACCTACTCTCAGACAAAGCAATTGAATGGCTAAATGACTTGCGACTGAATATCTCAGTTGCTCTCCATGGGCTGCACGAAAGAAGGAGACCACGTTGCACGTTTAATATGCAGAAGAAAACTATTTAAAATGGGGTTTGAACAAAGTTGAGTGCGGTGCAGATCAAAGTGTGTTGTAGTTCAAAATGCTAATTTGATTTCCAGGGCTGGGTGAGCGCTGGGACTTTATAGGCAGCAGCCCGAGGCCTTGGATATTGAGGGCCACTGCCAAGAATATTCGCTGCTTAATAACAGCTGAAATGCAAGACTGGAACACCACGACAAATCCCCGAGCTAATTTGGTCATAAAAGCCTCAGCATCACTTCGTGTCATCGCTCCCAGCTACGTGCCCAACATTTTAATAGTTTTTCTTCACATTTACAAGTTAACGCGTAGATTTTCGCGATCGATATTACGGTTCACGATTGTGTTTTTTTTAGGTTACATTGCACCACCATACAATACACAATTTGGCCTTCGTATCCCTCATTAATTGACTGAAAATATCTTAATACATATCGAGGACGGCAGAGCTTAGGCAATATTTGGCACCGAGGCTTTAAATCAATTTCCGGCCGCGTGGTCACGTGCGCACGCGGGCACGTACGATCTTGGGGCCGCGGTTGTTGCGCAGGTAGTTGCGCTGGTAGAAGATGGTGGCGACGGTGGCGCAGAGGGAGTAGAGGAGCGACACCACCCCCACGGCGACGAGCAGCCGCGCCGACGGCACCACGCCGGCCAGGCCCGCCGGCAGCGCCGACGGCCGCCCGGCGTCCATCGCCACGGTCGCGCCGTCGCTCGCCAGACGCACGTGCAGGCCCGCGGGCACGCAGCCGGAGACCCGCGCCACCACCCCCAGCAGCCTGCGGGCGACCCAAACCGCACGCACGCACGCAACACAGACGTCGCGGTCCCCTGCCGCCCGCTTACGTAGCCCGGGGTGGGCTGGGTGGGTAGGAGCGGTTGAGAGGGCACTCGCCGCCGATGATAGCCGCGGTCAGGGATCCAACCCAGGTGAGCGGAATTGCAGTTGTGACGTGCTAACCGCTAGGCTACCGCTCCCTGCGTTCACACACTAACCGTGCCAACCTCCGATTGGCACGGTTGGCTACGTGCGGTGCAAAAGAAGTTCAACATACATACACACAGACACAAAGATCCCCCGTGTAAGTGCTGTTAGCGTGCGACTACGAAGGCCGATGCCGCGTGCAAGTGGTAGCGCAGTGGGCCACCTTTGTCTCGCCAGTGCTGATGCTTCCACACTGCAGTGGCTACTAATCATACACGAGCACCTGCTGACCTAGGTGAGGCCCAGGACTGGTTTGGATATCGCTCGATACTGATGTTTTAGCCGTGAGCTTGGGGCATCTGGTTCTTCACGGAGCTCGCCAACCACTGCGCCACCATTCCCCCACGCCAGCAGAGGCGAGGCAGCCAGGCGGCTCAAGAGGTCGAGTGCGAAGCCGGAACAGCTGATCTACCCTGGGTTCGAATCGAGGGCAGCCGCTAGAGTCTCAAGCGATGCGAGTTGATAGTCTCAGCCCCGGTCACCCAATGACGACACAAAACAACAAAGATGCTGCACTTAAATTTGGATAAATCCCAGCGCTGATGATGCCTGAAATATCGCTGTGACAGTCGTGCGACGAGTAGGGAAAGTGTTGCTCCCTCGATGTTAACTGCAAAGGATCTCTGATCCTGACAAATCTGCGCTCGACGTTTCGGCTCTTCTCCAGCGTGAAGGAACATTTCACGCGAGTGGTTATTGAAGTCATAAAAAAGTTGGCTCCCGTCTGGTTAAAGGTGAATTTTTTTTCACGCAAAAAAACAAATTTTAAGATGAAAAAAAAAGATGAATTTAAATTGAAGTCAACCTGGTATTTTTAAAAATCAACCAGTGAAATTGGAAGGGGAAAATAAAAATTCTCAGATCTGAAAAGGTTTTGACGTTTTCTGCGCGGCATTTGAAAAAAAAAAGGCATTTTACTTTGGCAGTGGACTCGCGTGTCCCAGCCGGCTACGCGGAGGCAACGAGGAATTGCTTCCAAGTAAAAAAAAAAAAATCCACCGCAAAACATCTCGGAGAACTTGTGAACAAACGAAGGAAAACAAACCCTCCCTCGAATTTCCGATCTCTGACTTTTAGTTAGCACAAAATGAGCCCTCCCCCCCCCCGCTTGGGCTTGCGAAGCTACGGCCTCTGAATCGGCACCCGTTGGTGATTCGTGGTCGGTGACGCGGCCCGCTCGCGCGCCGTGCCAGTCCGCATGGCGCTCTCCAGAATCACTTTGCCACAGCGCTCTGCAAAGATCTCCGCGTGATGCATGCGTCTTGTGTGCACGTGTAACAGTGGTGGGGGTGGCGGTGAGCGCTACGGACCCGGCAGAGACCCGAGTTCGATTCTCGTTCACGGCCAATACCGGTGACGATTATAAGGATGGGTGCTGGGCCTCCCCTAGGTCGACTCAACCTCAAATGAGTACCTGGTGCGGTGTGTAAACATCGCCACTGGGGAGACAAAGGCGGTCGGGCGTGGTGCTGGCCACCCACCCCCTCGTGTGCCGTGCCAGCCTTCATAGGTGCTCACTAACAGCACTTGCCTCGGCAGTCTGTTACAGGCTAGACGGGGGATCTTTGTCTTTGTCTTGGCCTGATTGTGGGGAGCGGTGGTGTAGCGGTTAGCGCGCCGCGCTACAAACCCGGCGACCCGAGTTCGATTCCCGCTCACGGCCAACACCGCTGACTATTATTTGAACCGGTCCTGGGCCTCCCCTGGGTCGACTCAGCCTGAAATGAGTACCTGGTGCGGTGTGTAAACATCGCCAACTGCGGAGATAAAACAGGCGTTATGCAGGGGACCTTCGGCTATGTATTTGTCGATGGTAATGGCAGATATTTTGTAGGTATTTGTTTATAAAAATCTAAACATAGATATTTTAAAAATAATACGCATGCAGTGCAGCAGTGTCTTTCGGAAATACCCTGATCGCTTCAAAATTAAAATATGCATATTGTAAATGCAATTAGTAAATAAATCGCTCAATGAGGTAAAAATGCAATTAGAGCTGGTGAATAGATGTCGTCGTGTGAACGTGGGAGTAAAATAATTAATTGGCTCATAAAAAAACACGCACACACACGCAATGCACTGATGAATAACCCCGCGTATAAATAAGCATATAAATACATGCACATTAATTTTAAGCAGAAATTTATAAAAGAGATGGCGGGACAAATATCCGAGGGAATACCTCCTTGTTGCTGTCTCATTCCGCGGACTGTATCACTCCGCCCAGCCGCGCAGCTCAAGAAAGTAGTCTCTCGTTAACCGCTCAGAAGCCCGCGTTATAACGGTGCACATTCCGCGTTATAACGGTACGGTTCTGGGTTATAATGGGGTACACGTTCTGCGCGCTGTGCGAGAAAGTTGTTCCCTGATGGCAGAAGCACGTCGTGGCGACACCGCTGCCACGCGCTACGCGGCGAGGACTTCGTAAACGAGCGTGGGCACACTATGGGAACCTCATTTGCCAGTGAAAAATATGATAATTGGTTTTTTACCCTTCTATCTGGCAACAAAACTGACACCTTTTTACAAGGAGTCATGTTTGCATAGACCGCAATACCTGCAGTCATAATACAAACAAAAGACATAACTCTGATAATGTGCACTGTCCTTGAAGTTGATTGGTCCACACCCGAGACAGTGAAGTTGATTGGTCCACACCCGAGACAAGTGTGGGCACAGCGAGTGCCGGATGCCATGGTCCACATTACTCGGGAAAAAAAAAACCCGTGCCGGTTGTCAGGAACTCAGAGCAACATTTGCTGTGAAGCAACTGCAGAGTGCCCGTCAATCGCCCCGTTCCCTCGTCACAGCCGTGCGCTACGAGGATCGCACGAAACATATTAAACGTCCTCCACGATTTTGTTCGATGAGCATTTATATATTTTTAATAAACACACCACTGCATGCTACTTACTTAATCGACCCAATATCCAAGCGGACACGCGTTGAGGATGTTATAGGGGATGGTCCGATGTTTCCCCGATTCAATTTCGATTCCACGTGGGCTACGAATGTTTTCATTGATTCACGTCACACACACACCGAGTTCACGCATTGCCCCTGCAGACATCAGAGGCCGCTACATCCACAACCATTTTTAAATATCCGGATTGGTAATTACCAATCGGCAAACTTGGAATTGTGCCGCTTCATAGAATGTCTGTGAGTGGCAAGTGATGTCTGACCTGGTCCTGGGCTTCCCCTAGGTCGACTCAGCCTTAAATTGCCACCTGGTGCGGTGTGTAACTACGGGCAACTGTGGAGACAACGCTGAGGCCGGAGCGTTCTGACCCTGGACGCGCCATCCCTCCTCGTGTACCGTTCCGGCCTCAACGAGGTGTTCGCCAAAAAAAAAAAATCAACCCCAAAAATCTATAAAACTGTTTAAGCTCTTGTTCTTGGTTCTTTCGGTAATGTCACGTAGAAGGGAAATAATAAAATATAACATATAAAATGAAATTCTCACGACGTGTCATGAGAAATAAAACATAATAAAAATAAAACATAATAAAATTCTCACGACGTGCCGTGAGTATGTTTCATTTTATTATTTTATTATTTCCCTTCTACGTGATTTTACCGAAAGAACCAAGAATATGAATCCCTGCAGTCACGAAAGATTTAAATCGAAGTGTTTAAACTCTCTCTATTTTTTATTTTAGCAAGTAAGCCCCACTGAGTTAAATAGCTGTTTTTTTTTCTAGGAGCGACCTGGCTATCACAAATGAAATCTCAACGAAGCAGCTCATCACGTGGACATGTATAGAAGCCAAGTACTCGAAACGCGTGACGTTGATTTTAAATGTGGAGGGAAAATCCCGGAGGACCCGGAGAAAAAACCACACGACCACGGAGAGAGAGAGAGACACGCAAACTACTAATATACAACAGGCGTCAGGGTCGGTATCGGACCAGAGGTCGCAAACGGGTTTTGATTCCTTACCCGTACCCGGCCGCACCAGGGTCGCAAACGGGTAACTGTACCCGGCCGTACCCGTACCCTACTCGTACCCGGCCGGGGAATGAAGCCATGTTGCAGGCGCGGGTGGGTTGATTCTAGGAACTTGAATTGTGAGAAGAGACAAGACGTTGGGAAATGAGTGACAAACAGTTACTCACCAGTGACTCACGGCCTACCCGTACCCGGCCGCACCAGGGTCACAAACGGGTAGCCGGGTATCGGGTAGGGTACGGGTATCGGGTACCCGGTTGCGACCTCTGTATCGGACCCATGACCTCCTGTGTACCAGGCGAGGTAGTTAACATCTCGTCCACGTGGCGCCCAGTCTACGCGTGACCACGTGGGAGACGCGCGCGTTCATCTCGTGACCGCAATCCGCCCTCCTTTCGATGAGTAATTTAAGGAGGAGAAAATTGACACGAGCACTTCGGCTCTCGACCAATCGTCGCTGACCCGGGTCAGCGGAGAGATCCCTCGCCCCGATTTGGTGGCGGCATTCCCACCAAAAAGACAATTTGGATTTTTAAATAAAATCTCTCTCTCTTACTGGATGGTGAGATCGGCACTCCGCCCGGTCACCCGTCTTCTCTACCCCCCCCTCTCCACCAGTGCCAAACACTCGTTTAAGGCTGAATCGACCTAGGAGAAGGCTACAGACGCTAGTTTGAAAATGTCGCGCCACTGATGTTAGCCGCGTCCGAGTATCAATGAGGACGAACGAAGACAAAGATCCCCCGTATGGCCTCTGACAGACTGTGGGGCAAGCGCTGTTAGCGAGTAGCACCTATGAAGGCCGGCACGGCACACGAGGGGGTGGGTGGCCAGCTCCACGCCCGGCCGCCTTTGTCTCCCCAGTGGCGATGTTAACACACCAGGTACTGAGTCGACCTAGGGGAGGCCCGGGACCGGTTCAGATAATCGTCACTGGTGTTGGCCGTGAGCGGGAATCGAACTCGAGTGGCCAGGTTCGTAGCGCAGCGTAGCGCTAACCTCTACACTACCGCTCCCCACAATCTGGCCAAACACACACAGACACACAGACACATACACACACAGACATACACAAACACAGAGAAACACACAGACACACACAACACACACACAAACACACACTCACACACAAACACACACAGACACACACAAACACAAATAAACACACACAGACACACAAACACACACAAACACACAAAGACACACACAAACAGAGAACCACACACAGACACACACAAACAGAGAACCACACACAGACACACACAAACACACACAGAAACACAGAGAAACACAAACACAGACACACACACGTGCCGATGTCCATGTCTCCAGTGGCAATGCGGTGTTATCCCCCTGAGATAACACGCGGCGCCGCTCTGTGTGTTGCAAGTGGCTTAAGCCGTTTTTTGTTTGTCGGGGGGAGGAAGGAGGGCACCCCCCCCCTTCTCTCTCCAGATGTCGGTGAAAATTAAATCGTTGACCATGCGCCTGCCGGCTGGCCACGCCTCCTACCCCTCGCCCACCCTTCTTCGCTCCCCACCCTTCCTCGCTCCCCACCTTCAAGTTACTGGAACCTGGCGACTCTCTGCATCTCAGGAGGGCGATGCGGGGGAATGGGCCGTGCCAGGGCTGCTGAGCCGGGAGGGACCCTGGGGCGTGAATCCGTGGTCTCGGCTCGGTCATCGATGACTTGCACCGAGAACCGGCAGATTCTCACAGAGATCCGCAGACTCCCATCAAGACCCGCAGACTCACGTAGAGACCCGTGGGCTCACGTAGAGGCCCGTGGACTCACACAGAACAAGCTGTGATGAAACTGGGTTCTCAAGTGTAGTCAGGTGATGGTCTCACAACAGTTACCAGTGACTTACGCGGAGACCCACAGACTCACACGGTAACCCATGGATTCACATGGAGTCCCATAGACTCACATGGTGACCCATAGACTCACATGCAGACCCATAGGCTTACATAGAGGCCCCTTGACTCACATAGAGATCCATAGATTCGCATGAAGACCCATATGCTCGCATAGAGAATCACAGACTCACACGGTAACCCATGGATTCGCATGGAGTCCCATAGACTCACATGGTGACCCATAGACTCACATGAAGACCCATAGGCTTACATAGAGGCCCCTTGACTCACATAGAGACCCATATACTCGCATGAGGACCCATATGCTCACATAGAGACGCACAGACTCACACGGAAGACCCATATACTCACATAAAGACCCATAGACTCACATGGTGACCCATAGACTCACAGAGACCAGGTTGTGATGAAACCGGGTTCTCAAGTGTGGGGAGTTGGTGATCACACGAGGGGCACCGTGTAGTGCACACATTCACACATTCACACGTTAAAACAATCCCGCCACCGCTGCTGCTGCACTCCCGCAGAGTCTACAAATCCCTCCCTCTGCTTGTGTGTGAATGTATGTTGAACTTCTTACGCACCGTACGTAGCCAACCGTTGCCAGCGACCCGGAACACATTTCCATACCCAGCACGACAGCACGTAAAGTGGTTCAAACCCTCTCGCAATGGTCCCTCCATGTTGACCTGCGTCCAAGAATATATTGCTGCACCCAGCGCCCCAGAATCGAGTGTTTAAACATCTCACGATGACCGTGGCTATTCCAGTCCACCAGAGACCCAGGACGTATTTCCCTACCCGGCACACCACATTCAGTATGTGGGAGTTAGCATTTCGCCAATGCAGGGGTGTTGCGGTGGCCAGATGTTAACTACCTTGCCTAGTATACAGGAAGGCGTGGGTTCGATCCCGACCCTGACGCCTGTACATTTTAGAGAGTATTTGGCTGCTTTACATTTCCACGTGAAAAGCCACTTCGTTGAGCCATCGTTTATGTTAGCCAGGTCGCTTCTTAACTAAAGAGCTATATAGCTCAGTGGGCCTTACCTGGTAAAATAAAACTAGGTTAAGGTAATGGGTTAGGTTAGTACATAAACCTTTCGTAAACCTGTCAACCCATATGCGCTACCCGTATTCTTGTGCAGGGAAGTTGAGTTTTGAGGTCCATACGGCGTACAGCCGTTTCAGTACGGGCATAAACATTGGTTGTGTCTATTTGTTTGTGTTTTTCCCTTGTGGTGGGACTTTGTGGGATGAACGTTGAGATGTATAAGGGGCACGGGTGACCAATAAGGTCTGACTTGGTCTGTAATGAGGTAGGGCACTGACAAGGGGTTGACAGGGATGTCCTTGCTACGGCCGCTGCGACTGCTACCGGTCAGAGGTCGCAAACGGGTTTTGATTCCTTACCCGTACCCGGCCGCACCAGGGTCGCAAACGGGTACCCGTACCTGGCCGGGTACGGGTAGCCGGGTATAGGGTAGGGTACGGGTATCGGGTACCCGGTTGCGACCTCTGCTACTTGCGTCACGCGCATCTCCTCCTGACGCAGTGTTGCCAGGCAGGGCCCCCACCAGGCGAATCCGGAAGCGAGAGTGACAGCTGAGAGAGTTGAGAGATGAGAGACACACACAGACGGCACCCACCGGAATGGGTACTGGATGGGCACGTGAACATCTCCCAGGCGCTCCGAGCTGTTCCCGCACGGCAGCTGGAAGAGCAGCTCCCCGTGGTAGCCGCAGCATGTCGCGAAGGCGAGGATGGCAAAAATCTGACGGAAGAAGAGGGAGGAGGAGGAAGAAGAAACCAAGAGACAACGATTCGACTTAAATTTTGATTTAAAGCTTTCGTGACTGCAGGGATTCATATTCTTGGTTCTTTCGGTAAAGGCACGTAGAAGGGAAACAATAAAATAATAAAAAATATCTTTTTATTAAATAATAAAAATATATATTTTTTATCAAATAATAAAAATATATATTTTTATTTAATAATAAACAAACATTCTTTATGATTAAATAATAAACACACATTTTTATTAAATAATAAAAATATGTTTTTATGATTTTATTGTTTCCCTTCTACGTGATTTTACCGAAAGAACCAAGAATATGAACGCTTCGACTGTTATTGTTGCAGAGCTACGCGGTCCGGCCCCATTCGGCCGCCCTGGTTATTGACCACACGGCACTTCCTACTCCATTCACCACAACTCCCCCCCCGCAACCTCCGACTGGCACGGCTTGACATGCACCCCCACCCACCCCGCGCTCTCCAGGAACGATGCCGATGCTGATTGGCAGTGAACCTCCAACTGGGATCTGGGGCCCCGGGCGAGCGTCAACAGCCCCCCCCCCCCCCCACGTTCAACCTCTCGTCACAGGTGAGTGGCTAGCGCCTGGAGCGACCCACCACTGCACGCTGACATTGAGATGACACGGAGATGTCGACGATTGTCCGGCTTCCTTAAAATCCATCTGGTTATCGATCCGAATAACTCTAGTTTCTCGTTTGTTGTTGTTGTCACAAGTAATTGAACGTAATCCGATAATAAAAATCAATTCCACTGCTGGATGACGTGCTTCCCCACGCTGCTGCTGTTGTCACAATCAGAATCTTTATTTAGACAGGAGGAGGAATCCGATGAACTATGAAGCTCTTTTTCACAGATGTCTAGTAGGGGGGGGGGGGGTCAGAAAGTAACAAGGACATGTGCCCACTCTGTATATTGGTGCAATTATGTAAAGCTATTAATGCTTATCTGTCTCTGGTGTAGGCCAATCAGTTTCAAAGACAATGCACACATTATCAGAGCGTGTTTGTTTTACGTTTGTTTTTCCCACAAGCACGTGCGTCCATTTGGTGTGTGGACATCAGCATGGTGCTGCTTGAACGCTCACGTCACACCCGTACTCTTGCATTGGCTACCAATCAAATATCGAATTGATTATCAGGCCCTGCTATTGACCTACAACGCTGTCAATGTGTTAGCCCCCGCATTGCTTTCAGGAACTGATCCACTTACATACACCACCAACGAGGTCCTTGAGATCTTCTAATCACCTTCTTTTTAGTATTCCGAGGTCACAGCTTCGTGCCTGGGAGTGATCGGGCTTTTGCCAGTGCAGCCCCGAGACTGTGGAACGCGTTGCCTCTGACACTAAGACGATGAGACTCTCTCTCGTGCTATTTAAATCTATCTTCTCCCCAGAGCTGTGGACGTCTACGCGGCTGGCTCGATCTCACTTCCCTGGGATCCTTGGATGAAATACGCCTTCACAAATGTAAATTATTATCATCATTAACACCTCCTGTTTTATTGGAATGAAGAGTGAAGTCTATTCTCATCCCCCCCTCACCCCACCTGTCATCAACAGGGAATCTGTCTCGCTGCTGCCAAGATGGGGGATACAAATAAAACAACTGAAACCTTTGCAAGGAATCATGTCACTGCATTAGCCAGATATACTTGTGGTGAATATGCAAACAAAACACGCTCTGACAATATGTGCATTGTCTTTGAAACTGATTGGTCCACACCAGAGACAGCTTTCTTTAGAGCCTCGTCTCAAACAGCGTTAGACCAGAGGACGCCAAAAGGCGAACAGCACAAAGACCATGCCACTATCAGGGCATTGAGAGCTCGGGGTGGACCAATCAGTTTCAAAGACATTGCACATACTGTCAGAGCGTGTTGTTTCGTTTGCATGTTCACCACAAGTATATCTGTGGCTAATGCAAACATGATTTCTTGCAAAGGTTTCAGTTTGTTGTTTTAACATCTTAACACAGATATTTTATTGCCAGAAAGTGGAAGAACCGATTATCATAATGTAATACTGGCAAAGGAGGTATCGTGAAATAAAAATAAATGGACAGAAAATTCCCGAGCACCGGTGCTGGGGAACCCATCAGTGAGACGAGGCAGCGGTGAGGAGGTGGCGGGGGGGGGCTCCTGATGTCCATTATCGGGGGGGGGGGGGGCGGGGCAAGATGGGTTCTACCCATAACCTTTCGTTTCCCAGTCAGCCCAGTTAATGATAAAAAACCACAGCGCCGCACCTTGACACGGATACACACACAGCAGACGAAGGTCACGTCCCCGCCGGGGTAGCCTCCAGCAGGCTTGCTGGGGCAAGTGCTGTCACCGAGCGGCAGCTATACGAAGGAGCGGCACGGCACACACGAGGTGTGTGTGGCTGTGTGTGTGTGGCTGTGTGTGTGGCTGTGTGTAGCTGTGTGTGTGTATGTGTGTGTCTGTGTGTGTGGCTGTGTGTGTGTGTCTGTGTGTGTGTCTGTATGTGTCTGTGTGTCTGTGTATGTGTCTGTGTGTCTGTGTGTGTGTCTGTGTGTGTCTGTGTGTGTCTGTGTGTGTGTCTGTCTGTGTGTGTCTGTGTGTGTGTCTGTCTGTGTGTGTGTCTGTGTGTGTGTCTGTGTGTGTGGCTGTGTGTTTGTGTCTGTGTGTGTGTGCCTGTGCGTGTCTGTGTGTGTGTCTGTGTGTGTGTCTGTATGTGGCTGTGTGTGTCTGTGTCTGTGGGTGTTTGTCTGTGTGTGTGTCTGTGTGTGTGGCTGTGTGTTTGTCTGTGTGTGTATCTGTATGTGTGGCTGGCCACCGCCACACCGCCGCCGCCGCCTTTGTGTGCCCAGCGGCGATGTCTTCACATCGCAACAGGCGCTCATTGTGGGGCCCAGTCGACACAGGAGGAGCCGTTTCGATATCACCACGCACTGAAGCCAGTGCACTGCGCAGTGAACCACCGCTCCCCAGTCCTCTAAGCCAATGGTTCTTCTTCTGCTTCACCTGGGGTGGACGCTGAACCCCTGTGGGGGTGCGAGACGCCCTCTCTGTGGGTGCGAGACGTGGCCAGATTCTCTTTTAGGAGGTAAATAATCGAAAACCAAATTAGGCACGGGCACGTAGGTGTGCAACTTACTTTGTTTCATCAAACCCCTGAGTATTTATTGGCATTGTGAAATGTCGTTACGATCGGGAACTTCAAGGGGTGCAAGACTGCAGTAAATGTGAAGAACCGCTGCTCTCCACGAAGACAAAGATGCCAGCTGTGCCAGGACGCCTGGTACTGGGACGCTGCCGTCAACGCAAGATTCACGCGGATTGCCAAGCGCACTCAGGTGACCGACAGCTGCACGAAGGCAAGAAGACATTGTCAAACGTAAATGTGGCGTTTTTTTTATGAAAGGCAGCTTTCAGAGCCCTGAGAGTCAAAACCTCGTGGGCTGATTGGACTGAGTGTCAGCCCCCCCCCCCCCATCGTGCGTGTTGACCGTCTCGTCCTGAGTGACGTCCGGACGACTTCCTCGTGGCCTCTACCTTGTAATGCGAACGAAGTTTAAACAACGGCGCTGCCTTACAATATGTTTTTTTTACCGAGTGAAAAATCTCTGATCGATGTAATGATTCCTGTAACTTGAAATGTGCTGCGTCTCAGGCAGTGGCGTCACTCGGGTTGGTGGTGTCACCCCTCGTGGACCTCCTCCGCCCGTAGCAGACCATGCAGACTCCTTAGTCATGTTTCTTGTACTGATGTTACTCGTACATCGTCATTCCCGTACATCACTGAATGTAATGGCAATAGTAGTGATGTAAGCAACGAGCAAAATTAATATGACACCTTTAAATTACAATATTTCCTTTAATTACTACTTCATTTTCTTGGTTCTTTCGGTAAAGTCACGTAGAAGGGAAGTAATAAAATAATACAAATAAAACATAATAAAATAATTTTATTTTTATTATTTTATTACTTCCCTTCTACGTGACTTTACCGAAAGAGCCAAGAAGATGAATCCCTGCAGTCACGAAAGCTTTAAATCGAAATACTACTTCATTCCCAAGCAAGTCATTGATATAGGTTCACAAATACTAATCACCACGATATCGTCGCTAAATCACCAGAAAACTTGATAAAATCAGCGACTATTAAAACTCGAGCAGCGACGAACACGACAGCGCGTGCAGACGAGACCACGTGACTCGGAGCGTCAGCGGAGTTGGGTAACAATGAGAGCTCTGACCGGAGCGCGTTAGAAGGTTCAACAAGTTAATTAGCAACGAGTTTTAGCCTTGTAGATAAATTGATATAGTACATGTAAGCTGGGCTTACGAATTTTTTTGTTCTTGATATAACTAACTACGGGGATATATATATATATATTTTTATAAAAAAGAATACATTTCTGCTGAAACACTGCACAACAAGTTGCATAGACAGTCATTTTGATGTCACCCCCTCTGATGGTGTCACCCCACGCGGCCCGCACCCCCCGCCCCCGCGTGACGCCACTGCTCTCAGCGAAGCTATTTCACCATTTGCGTTTTTATGCCTTATTTGCAATACGTTCTTTAATCGTAATCCTCACGTCAGTTAAATATTCAAGCGATAATTTTGTAATATGCTCTACATCACGTGATTTGCTGTCATTTTCCCGTTCATTATGTAATCCTTTTTTATTTTTCTTGCGTGTTGTGTTTGAGCAGGGAACCGATGCTTTCGTCGATGAAACCACCCCCGCCCCCCCCCCCGATTCAAGGGCAGCTTCTTAGCTCACAGGGTACTTCAAAATAAACTGAACTAAAACAAAGTGAACCAAGTTTCGCGAGAGAATGACATCGCTAAGAGAATCCGCGCACTGTCAGTCGACCACCGGGTTTCAGCGTAAACAACAAAGTCTGGCCACAACGCTCCTCGTCAGGGCCGGACGAGGCGATCCATTGACCCCTCGGTTCATCGACGCCTGTGAGATGTTGACACAACTAACCTGCTGCCGTGAATGCACGCGGAAGAATGAGTTGGCTGAGAGAGCCGGAATTATGTGGCCACTCTCCTCTGAGTGTGGAGTGGCTCTGCTGGTTTTTTTTCTTAGTTATCGGTGTATCCGTCCACTGGAATCTCGCGGCGTTATTAACTTTTGCAATATTCCCGCAGGGCTCGATACGATGCAGAGAGAGAGCCGCGGAGAGAGAGAGGGAGAGGGGGGACATTGAAGTGGCTATGCGGTCTCATCTCCTGGGGCCGTTCACCCATGCGTGGGTTGTAGGTCAGTGGGGGAGAGATGCTCTTGGCAAAGACAAAGTGGGGGAGCGGTGGTGGAGTGGTTAGCGCTACGCCGTGCTACGAACCCGGCGACCCGAGTCCGAATTCAGATCACGGCCAACACCAGTGACGATTATGGATGGTATTGGTCGCGAATTGGTTCAGCGCCTTCCCTAGGTCTAGGTCGACTCATGCGTGTCATTTTCGACTCGATTTTCCGCGCTTTTGTAAGCGCTGTTCTTCGATGCAGCCCGTGTGATCGCACGGCGAATTCGAGACGCGATTCGTACAAACGATTTTTGCTTTTTAATATAAAATGACAAGAATTGTTGCTACGACGTGACTCGTGATGTAACACGCTAATTATTAGGCAAACAAATAAATTGGGCAGGAGCAACCCCCCCCTCCCCTCTCCCCCATGAAGTTGAAGATAGTGCGGTGCTGTTGATGAGAAAAGTGGTGTTGTGCCTGATAGTGAGAATCATAGTGGTGCTGCTGCTGATGATGATAGTGACGCTAATTATGTACGCACAGCACATTTAACACCTAGGCTTTCGCGACCGATATTATTCATAATAAGGGTGTTTGGGTTATATAGCGTAAATATAAATGTGGCGTAACCCTCCACCATCCGACACAGCCGGCAAGGTTTGTCACGTAAACAACGCGCGCCAATTAGTTACCACTTCAGCCCACCGGTGTGTTGTAATTATAATTTGAGTACTCAATTGTAAATGTTGCAGAGTGAGAGACATGGAGAGAGAGGGAGAGAGAGGGAGCACTGAAGACCTCTATCGGTGGTCACCGTATGCACCACGTACTCCCGTTGTATCGAGTTATCTTCTTCTTCTTCCTAGCGTTGTTCCCGCTGTGGCGCAGGGTCCGCTTTTCGGCATTGTCTTCTCCATTTGGCTCGGTCCAGGGCATCTTCAGGGGATGCGTTGTATCGAGTTATCGACTTCTAATATTGCCCCAAGTGTGTACACGTATCCGACCGTGCTTTGCTGTGTATGCGTGGCTCGGCACAGCGGTGCACGTACTATTATTACTTTAAACTACATATTGTTATTTTATTTTAACAGGTCAGGCCCACTCAGCGATAATGGCTCTTTGTCGGAAGTGAGCTGGCTATCACAAATGATAGCTCAGCGAAGTGGCTTATCGTTGTTTGGAAATTTATAGCAGCCAAATATTCTAAACGCGGAGAAAATACCACGCCACCACGAGGAGAGAGAGACACGCAAACTTCAATTATACAGCAGGCGTTAGGGTTGGGATCGAACCCACGATCTCCTGTATACCAGGCGAGGGAGTTAACATCTCACCACGAGTAGAGAGACACGCAAACTCCAATTATACAGGCGTTAGGGTTGGGATCGAACCCACGATCTCTTGAATACCAGGCGAGGGAGTTAACATCTCACCACGAGTAGAGAGACACGCAAACTCCAATTATACAGGCGTTAGGGCTGGGATCGAAACCACGATCTCCTGTATACCAGGCGAGGGAGTTAACATCTCACCACGAGTAGAGAGACACGCAAACTCCAATTATACAGGCGTTAGGGTTGGGATCGAACCCACGATCTCCTGTATACCAGGCGAGGGAGTTAACATCTCACCACCGTGGCGCAAACGCGTCGTTCCTTTGTCTTTGGTTTCATGTGGGTGATATATTTCAATAAAAAAACCGATAAAAGAGAATAATGACGATGACAATGATGACGAAGCGTTAATAACCACCACGGTGGTGACAGTAACGATGTGAGACGTATACGACTCGTAACAACCACGGTAAAACAACAACAACACAAATATCACACCGGTAAAAACAAACACAAACATCCTCCACGGCTGATTGTCCACACAGCATAAAACCCGCCGCCTTACTCCGCAATCCATCGCGCGACCCTCTCCCCCCCCCCGGCCCCTGCCGCCCGCACCACGGGACGCGAGTCCACAATTAAAAGGGAACACCGCGGGGCACAATTCTCCGTGGCGCAGGTCCGTGGGCCTTGGGCCCTGTTGGGTGTTCGCTCGTGGCGTGGTCGCGGCTGCCTCGAGGGTTCAAACCCGACAAAGCCATCTAACCCCTCACCCCCCACCCCTCACCCCCCACCTCTCACCCCCCCTCCAACACCCCACACCACTTCCCCAGGGGGGCTTCTTGCGACAGAATCCGCCTCCTCCATCCTCCACGCGGTCGAGTAATTGGCCGCGCGTCAACCGATCGCGGCGGGCGGGCTGGGGTTGGGGCTGGGTTTGGGGTTGGGGCTGGGATTGGGGCTGGGGTTGGGGCTGGGGTTGGGGCTGGGTTTGGGGCTGGGGTTGGGGCTGGGGCTGGGGATGGGATTGGGGCTGGGGTTGGGGCTGGGGATGGGGCTGGGGTTGTCTTCGGGAAAGGGGTTGGGGGGGCTGTCTTCGCTCTAACGAGCAAAAAAAAAACTCAGCGGCTATGAAAATTGGTTTAATGGCGACCTTTAATTTAACGAAGTGACAAGAGAGCCGGGATCGTTGGTGGGGCGGTGGGTGTGAAGGAATGTGGGGAGCGAGGGGTGGGGGTGCGTGTGTGTTTGGGGGGGGGGGGGGGTAGTTGTTAGCGCTACGCCGCGCTACGAACCTGGCGACCAGAGTTCGCTTCCCGCTCACGGCCAAAATCAGTGACGATTATCTAAACCGGTCCTGCCCCCCCTAGGTCGACTCAGCCTCAAATGAGTACCTGTTGCGCTGTGTAAACATCGCCACTAAGGAGACAAAGGCGGCCGGGCGTAGTGCTGGTCACCCACCCCCTCGTGTGCCGTTCCGGCATTCATAGGCGCTACTCGCTCACAGCACTTGCCCCTACAGCCTGTCAAGGCTATACGAGGGATCTCAAGGCTATGCCGAGGATCTTCAGGGCGTGTTGAGTATCGGTATAAAGCTCCGAGAGCTGGCTGTGCTGCGTGGCTCTGAGCGGTTGATCCGTGCAGCTCTCTGGCGCGAGCTGCGTTGGCGTGGCGAGATGTGAACTCCCTCGCCCGGTGTGCAGGAGGCCGGGGGTTCGATCCCGACCCTGACAATGCCTGCTGTATATTTGGAGTTTGCGTGTTCTTCCCATGGTCGCGTGGATACGAACCCAAACAGTGGTGTTAACCACCTCGCCCGGTATACGGGAGTTCGTGGGTTCCAGAAACCATACCCTGGCTCGCCAGGTGAAGGCGGCACAGCAAGTGAACGGATCGCCATCAGTTCCCATCTGTACGGGGATATAGCCTTGCCCCCTCACACGCGCCGGTTTTCTTTCGGTTCTCTAGATTTTCCCCCCACGTGTATGAACACTCATCACGAATTGGATTAAGACATCTTAAAATAATAACCCCATGTGACCGGACCCTCCTAAAGGGCACTCGATTGGTTAAATAAAGGATGTACAGTTTAGCCGTATAGTATGGCGAGATGTTAACTACCTCGCCTGGTATGCAGGAGGAGCCTGACGCCTGTATATTTAGAGTTTGCGTGTCTCTCTCCCCCCCCCGTGGTCGCTTGGATGTTTTTCTCTGGCTCCTCCGGTTTTTTCCCCTTCACATTTAGAATCAATATCACGCGTTTTGATTATTTAGATGATTTGGCTGCTGTAAATGTCCGCATGGTAAGCCACTTCGTTGAGCTATCATTTGTGGCCGGGTCGCTTCTGAAAGAAGACGCTAATAGCTCAGTGGGCCTTACTTAGTAAGCCATCTATAGTTTAGTTTTATTTTAAATATTCGTTTTAGTTACGTGATTACATATTCTGTACTTTGTACTGTTTGTTCTTGTGACGTTCTGAACTCGCTCCTACTTGGACATCTATGAAAAAGAGCTTTATAGCTCATCGGATTCCTCCAGTACATAAATATAAATATTCAGATCCCGGTTCGTGCCGCGCGTTGCTCCGGGCTCGACAGGTTCGCAGCGTCGCTTCCGCTTCGGGGAAACAGCGGAGACGCTCACGGCACCCTGAACAGAAGCGGTGTCAGCAACAACAGCAGCAGCCAGCCAGCCAGCCAGCAGCCAGTAACAACACCAAAGTCGTGACAACACAATCGGGGAGAGCTTTTCTGAGCCGGGATCTAAAGGAATTAGATGCAAATCAACAACAACGAAAATAACGGCGTGTTTATAGGAGGCTGGATTTAACGTGTGGCCGCTATGAACTCGTGGCACGCGCGCAGCCTCAGCCGTGCCGGTCCGGCACAGCGGGCACGGCAGTAATGAATCCCCTGGGTCGCCCGGCCAGCTCGTGTTTTGTAAATATTCCGCGTGTATCCTCACGAATTACAATTTGAAATTCATCGACTGCGATACATGCAGTTCAGCCACCCTCCACACTCCCCTCCCCTTCTCAGTTCTGGGATTATAATGAAATCACTGGTGTGGTCTTCATCGATGTCAATTCCCGAAGTTAGTGGTGGAAATTCCACACCCCTATGGCGGGGACTACTGCCAACAGAAGAAGAAGAAAACCCCACTGCTATTCTCGACATTCTGTAAACTGGTACTCGTTTTACGGACCCTGGTGGGGTGCGATGATGGGTTTGGACTGGCTTAGTGCCTCTTCATGCCTCAGTGGGTTCGTTCACCGCACACCGCACGGCCACGCGTCCGTCTATTCGTCTATTGCCGCTGTCCCTTTAACCTGAATACTTGCAGCCTTGCAAAGCCCTTGGCTTCTCAATCGCTGAAAAAAGCAGACGTACAATGTGAACAAATACACAAGGCTTGCTGAAACAAAGTAAGTTGCCCGTGCTTCATTTGTGTTTCGATGATTAACCATAAAACAAAAAGAATCTGGCCACGTCTCGCACCCCCAGGGGATGCGTGATGCACCCCAGGTGAAGAAGAACCGCTGGTCCATTTGAACTTATACAGCGAGTTAGCCATGGCACCACGGCCGCCACCCCAGTGTCCGCTCCCTCTCGTATGTACGTACATATGTTGAACTTCTTTTGCGCCGTACGTGGCCAACCATGATAATCGGAGGTGCGGGGGAAGGACAACAAACTCGATAGAGAGATAACTAGTCAGAGGTGCGAGCGGGAACCACGCAGGTAGCCGCGTGACGAGCCGGTGACAACAATTCACTAAGCTCTGCGGTCCTCTACATATGTTAAGCTGTTACCAGCCTCACACAGAGAGACCCCCCCCCATTCACTTACACAGAGACCCACAGGACTCACGTAGTGACCCACAGCCTCACACTGAGGCCCCGTTGACTCACACAGACACCCACAAGACTCGCGTAGCGACTCACAGCCTCACACTGAGACCCTGTTGACTCACACAGACACCCACTGGACTCACGTAGCGACCCACAGCCTCACACTGAGGCCCCGTTGACTCACACAGACACCCACAGGACTCACATAGCGACCCGCAGCCTCACACTGAGGCCCCGTTGACTCACACAGACACCCACAAGACTCACGTAGCGACCCACAGCCTCACACTGAGACCCCCGTTGACTCACACAGACACCCACAAGACTCACGTAGCGACCCACAGCCTCACACAGACGCCCCGTTGACTCACACAGACACCCACTGGACTCACGTAGCGACCCACAGCCTCACACTGAGACCCCCGTTGACTCACACAGACACCCACAGGACTCACATAGCGACCCACAGCCTCACACAGAGGCCCCGTTGACTCACACAGACACCCACTGGACTCACGTAGCGACCCACAGCCTCACTCGGAGACCCGTAGATGAAAGGGGTCGTGGAGATGCCAACGGCGCAGGGCGCATGGAGCGGAGGGTGAGAGACGGTGGATGTGATGGTAAGATAAAACTAAGTTGTCGTTTTAGTTGCATATATTTTTAAATACGTAATTATTTTACCTTTACTATACGTTGCATTCCTATCATGTTTGTGTAATGTGTCTTGCTGTTGTTGTTGTTGTGAGGTTCTGATCTGACCCTGACTGGACATCTGTGAAAAAAAAGAGGATTTCACCTGCAGGATAAATAAATATTCAGATTTTTCTGACTAGCGAGGAGAAACGCGGAGGAGAATCGAAAACTCGAGCAACCAGAGAATAAAAAAGCAGAAGATGATGATAATGATGATAATGACGGTGACGATATCTATTTATTTTACTTTATACACAACACAGCCGACTCCCCCAACAACACAATCGGCGTGCGAGAGTGAGCGCGCTCGTTGCTGCTGCTGATGTGGTTGTTGAACGCGCGAGGCAAACGCGCTTCGCCCGACAGAGACAACCACGTGGGCCGTGCGGCCGCTTCAACAAGTCCCCTGCACACTCACGAAGTGGTGGGTGAGTGGTGGTGGTGGGTGGAGGCAAAATCCTGCAAATTAGATTTTTGTTGGGCCCGAAACGAGTGTCCTTGGATTTAGAACGCGCGTTAGATGAGAGAGAGAGAGAGGAGTCCAGAATCCCATCCTATTAATGCCAAATCTGCGTTATTATACTCGTGCACCTTCATAAAGGGCAAGACATTTCTATCGTGCGTGTGTGTAGGTGTGTGTGTGTGTGCGTGTGTGTAGGTGCGCGTGTGTGTGTGTGCGTGTGTGTAGGTGCGTGTGTGTGTGTGCGTGTGTGTAGGTGCGTGGGTGTAGGTGTGTGTGTGTGTGCGTGTGTGTAGGTGCGCGTGTGTGTGTGTGCGTGTGTGTAGGTGCGCGTGTGTGTGTGTGCGTGTGTGTAGATGCGTGGGTGTATGGATATTGCATGGCGGGGAGCGGTAGCGCAGCCGGTTTCCCGAGCCGCGCTACGAACCCAGTGACCCGAGTTCGATTCCCGCTCACGGTAAACGCCGGTGACGATTATTATTTGAACCGGTCCTGGGCCTCGCCCTAGGACGACTCGGCCTCAAACGAGTACCTGGAGAAGTGTGTAGTAAACATCGCCATTGGGGAGAC